ATGAAGATAGCCTACTGGATGAAGATGAAAAGAGTCAGTGCTTGCAAGTTTAACACCTTGTCTCCAACAGTACGTCCCCAATTTTCTTGTATTCTCTTATTTTCACAATAAATTAGACTGCATTCAGAAATTTAATTTGTGTCTTTCAATGACCTCATACTTAGTATAAGATATGGCAAGGTCCTGAGGACTAATCTCGGAATTTTTAGTTCTTATTATTTTTTCAGGTGTGTTTGACACCTTGTAAACCCATTTGCAGGTTTTCTTGGCAAAGATACTGGTGTGGTTTGCCATTTCTCCAGTAAATCACTTTTTTTTTTTTTTGGTCGAGGCAGTGATCCAGTTTAGGCAGGCAGAGGCTAAGAGACTTCTTTAAGATAAGTGTCTGAGGCTGATTTTGAACTCAGATCTTCCTAACACAAACGCCAATGCTCTAGCCACTTAGCCACCAGTTGCCTCTAAGTAGGAAGGCGTTAAAATAGTCTAACTGAGCCAAACAAGAAATCTCCTGTACTCCAACAAAGAATACAAAATGTTAGAAGGACATGAGTGAAGGAAATGTTGCACTAATTGAAAAAGTCCAGTGATAGTTTCCAGATATCGATCAGAAAAAACTAAACAAAAGAAGGATCATTTGGACTGCAAATTCAGGAATATCTCAGAATTCAACTGGCTGACAATATCTGGGTGGAAGCCTTTAGGATTCAGTTATGTGATTTTGTTAGGACTATGCTTTTTAATGTCAATTTTTAAGTTTATTGATTCAAATTATTTCATTAATTCAAAAAAATTTTTTTTCAAAAAAAAAAAATACCCAACTAGTGGTGAACCACCTTGTTATTGAAAACTGGCAGTGATAGGAAATCTGCCTCACCTCAAAACAAGCTATAACACTTCTGTATACCTTTAAATGATTAGCATCTTTTTTCCCCCAGAAATTAAGCCTAAATTTGCCTCATTGCAATCCTACTCACTGAAAATCCTAATTGTTAAATCTAAAAAGTTAATGGTGTGTTCAGAACTGTTTTTCAGAAGGAGTACTATTAACAAAGGATAGGTGTCACTGAACCGGGAAGTTTTCAGATTACTCTCCATCAAGTAATGAAAAAGTATTTTAAAATTCCAACTACATGCCAGGCGCTGCACTGGATTTGCTGTTCAGTCATTTTCAGTTAAGTCTAACTCTTCATGACCTTATTTGGGATCTTCTTGGCAAAGATGATGGAGTGGTTTGCCATTTCCTTCTCCAGCTCATTTTACAAATGAGGAAACTGAGGCAAACAAGGTTAAATTACTTGCCCAGAATCACATAGCTAGTAAGTCGTGGGCCAGATTTGAACTCGGGAAGGTGATTTTTCCTTACTCCAGATCCAGAACTTTATCCACTGTGCTACCTAGCTGCCTTACTGTAATAGATACTGAGAATATAATAATAAAGAATCGGACATTCCCAACTCCCAAGGGGCTAACCCTTCACTAAAAAGGAATTGTGGATTACAGAGTGGGGAATTGGAACTGAATCCACAGGAAAAGGAAAGAACCATGACAATTTAAAATCTTTAGCAGCCAACACCAGAAAATGTTATTAGGGACACAAACTGACTTTCACAATTGTCCCTGAAACTCACCTTTAGATCCATCCCCCTATTCCTACTGCAGAAACTCTACTTTCTGCCTATTCACCCCAATCCTGTCCCACTACACATAGTTAAGGAGTCAGGAGAAGCTATTGGGCTCTTCTCTGAATATAGAATGACGGTAGGATAGGGGACCCCCAAACCTGAAGAAATGCTTTCCAGAATGTCCATCTTGCCCTGATCAACCCTGAAAATACAGCAGATTCTGATTCTGCCCAACAACGTGCAGAAAAGGAGAACCAGTGGAAGTCATGGGACACACATCGGGCCAATGTTATTGGCCATGAAATTGATATGAAACTCCTACTCCTCCAATCCTGTCCTTTCAGAGAATACTCTGAGTAGGGGCACTAGTGAATGAAGATTTCTAAAAGTGAGTATGTTGTATCTGTGTGATCTGCCCTCATGATCAGATTGTAACCACCAGCAATTGGGGGACAGTCTACCCTCGATAAAATGAGAAGGAATACAAAAATAATGTAAAAAGCTTGAAAAACCAAAAATTTCAAGAAGGAAAACAAATCAGAAAAATGTGTATATACCCCCGACATCAGTGAGCTAGCCTTCATTTGCCAACCATGTTTCACTCAGGGCTGTTACTTGGATATAATGTCTGCTGAGTTCTCTTGCAGCAAGAGTTGTTTGCCTTCCGGGCCTACTGAATTTCCTTTTGTCCATAAGTGTGCACACATTCCTTGTACCTATGGAGAGTGGAATCATCTCTGCAGAAGTTTTTGTATAGTTTTTTGTGTTTCAACCACAGGGTGGGGTCCCTACCTGCCCCAATGAACAGGCCAGGGTTGGGTAAGTAGACAATTTTTAGGGCACCTTTTCTAACTCCTTCCTCACACCAGGAAGTGAGCAGTGCAGTCCTTAAAAGGCTGCTTAGATACCCAGGGGGCTGCCAAATCCCACTGCTGCTTCTGATGAGAAGATGATACTATGGCCTTGGTCACTTATGTTCAGGGTTATGACTACAGCTCCCAGTGTATCCATACCTACTGCTTTGTCATTTGCCTATCACCAAAGGACTTTGACATAGGTAAAAATTGTAAAATCGCATAGGTAATGTCTTTTGATTTGTGCATAAATTTGATTTAAGTGAGGCAGAGTTGCATGAAGCCATTGGCCTCTCTCTCTCTCCTCCAGAGTCATCACAGTCCAGTGGCAGGATGACTGGTGATGGCTCAAGATGCAGTGGATGACCTTGGCATCTTTGATGTCTAACCAAGCCCTAAGGGCTCCACATCACTTGCTTTAGCTGCCTTCCTAGCTGTTGGAACAAATTGTTCTCTCCATCAAGTAATGAAAAAGTATTTTAAAATTCCAACTACATGCCAGGCGCTGCACTAGATTTGTTGTTCAGTCGTTTTCAGTTAAGTCTAACTCTTCATGACCTTATTTGGGATCTTCTTGGCAAAGATGATGGAGTGGTTTGCCATTTCCTTCTCCGGTTCATTTTACAAATGAGGAAACTGAGGCAAACAAGGTTAAATTACTTGCCCAGGGGAAGTCTTTACTTGCTTGGGTGAGACATTCTGATTCAAGGGTTTGAGACCCCTTGGTTACCCTCCATCTGGTTTAGCTCATCTGCTACAATGGTTTACTGAGGTGTGACCATTGCATAGCTTCTTGGGAATCACAGGTGAGAATTGGGTGGTTCAGGAAGACAACCAAGGTGGAAAGCAACCCTGAAAAGGGCTTGGCAGCCTTCACACCAGGTACTAGTGTGTGTCCACATTAGAGGAACCAGTCTTTCTCAACACACCTAACACACCCTCCCTCCCACATATGTATATGTATATCTGTATAGCCAAATCTGGAAGTGTGGTGATGAGCTGGGAGCTATGAGCTAATTTGTCTCCCCACTCCTTATTTGTATTTGTAATGTAAATCATCACGGACTTTTTGAATTTTCAGTGTAATTCTTTTTTTTTATATAAGTTGAAAAAGTATCATTGTTGTTTTAGGAGGCTCTGGAAGTTTTCTACTCCTATGGTTTGTAGGGAGGCATGCCAACATCTAATTTGAGTTCAAATCCTGTCTCAGACACTTTGTAGCTATGTGGCTTTGAGAAGCAAGTCACTTAACCTTAGCTCTCTAAGTCTTAGTTATATCATCTGACTGAGGGCCTGGAGTCAGAAAGACCTGAGTTCAAATCTAGCCCAAGACACTAACTACCTACATGACCCAGGACAAATCACTTAATTTCTGTTCGCCTCAGTTTCCTCATCGTAAAATGGAGATAATAATAGCGCCTACCTCCCAGGATTGTCGCAAAGATCAAATGGGGTAATGATTGTGAAGCGCTTAGCACAGTGCCTGGCACATAGTAAGCACTATATAAATGCTGGCTATTAATAATGACACCAACCTCTCAGGGTTATTGTGAGGATCTAATGAGATAACACATATAAAGCGTCTCGCAAACCTTAAAGTGCTGCTAAAATAAAGTTAGCTGTTATCACGTTAATGAAATCCTGAGTGAGTGATAGAGCTTTTTTCCCCAACAGTCTGTTTGGTTTGTGATCTGAGCAGGCAGCGATTTTATTCCTTTCTTCTTTTGTAATAGTTTTCGTAAGTTTGGGGACCTTGGTGTCATGGGCTTTTCTGGATCTTTTGAATGGTCTGCAGGCTTTCCCGCGATGATTCGCTTATTTGTGTATTGGACAGCTCACATTCCTAGGGTGCTTGTCTTTTAAGTGCTTAGGGTCTTGCCACTGTGTCTTATAATCCCCATTTCTCAGGTGAGTAGATTAAAGCCATGATGCGTTTCAGTGACTAAGTTCAGTGTGACAAGGTCAAAAATCTTCTGGGTATGTAGCGAGCACTTTATGCAGCTAGGCGCTGATGAGAAAAGACGCTTAGAGGGTTTCCATGGAGACACACTACAGAAACGGGAGAAAGGCAGGAGAGAGAAGAGAGGATTCTGATTGGCTGAGCCAAGTGAGCCCTCTGATTGGCGGGGGAAGCGTAGCTTCTGATTGGCAGACGGAAGTGTGTCCTCCCAGTGGTGAAAGAGTAGTTCTCCGCTGATTGGCAAGGGCGATTTTGCATCCCGCCTCTTCTCTGCCCTCCCTGGCCTAGCGCTAGTAAGGAGTTTGAGTCTAACGACCCCCGGGACCCCAGGTCCTGTTTTAACAAGCTGGTGACCAGTCAGGAACTTTGGGAGAAGCCACATCCTCCGGAACCTGTGGGAAATGGGGGCGGAATGTGGGGGAAGGTTAAAGAGGCGCCATGAAAATCCTGGCAAACGCTCCGACGCATGCGTACTTTCTCATAAAAATTCTGGGAAAGGCTGGCGTGCGTGCGCGCATGCGTATTTTCCCGTCTTCCTTGAGTGCGCTTGCGCGCAAGCCCTACGTCTTCAAAACCGGAAGAGGTCCCTGAGCTAGGGAGAGGCTACGTGAGTCTGTTGTGAGGACCATAGTCCCGCGTGATCAGGTCCGGGAGGCCAGAGGTTGTCTTTGGGGCTGGAGAACCCCTATTGTTACCACCGGGAGGGTAGAGTGGGAGGGGCAGGGCGGAGCGGGTGTGACTGGCGGGATGGGGGAGGGGCATGACAGCTCCTTGGTGGGTAGCCCGTGCCTGAGGCATGAGAGACTGAGCGGGGCTGGGCTGGGGGCTCCGCTTCAGGCCCACGGGGAGGGGCAGATTCCGAGGTACAAAGGGGAAGGTAGGGAGGCGGGGAGGAGTCGTAATCTCCCACTTCTTCCCAGTGCTTCTCTGGCCCAAAAGAAGCCGTCACCATCATCATCACCATCATCATCACCATCATCATCACCATCATCATCACCATCATCATCA